AAACTGCGAATAACCTCGCAGTTGTCACTCCTCGAACACTGTACGTTGCAAACTGCGAACTGACTCGCAATATCTCTCTCTCTCTCTCTCTCTCTATATATATATATATATATATATATATATATATATATATACATATATATATATATATATATATATATACATATATATATATATATATATATATATAGTTATCAGGTCGGCGACCTCACAAGAGAAAGGTGAGTGAAAATCGGGAATTGATTCGGTGTTCAGTGTAGCAATATATCTGTATATATACATATATGTATCGATATCTTTTATATATGTATGTAGATATCAGGTCGGCAACCTCACAAGGGACAGGTCAGCGAAAATCGAGAATTGATTCGGTGTTTAGTGTAGCAACTAGGTATTGATTCGGGGTTCGCCATGCGCAACGACGACTGCAACTTGCGAAGGGGATCGAGCAACTTTATACGAACGTTATCGTGGCTATGGCGAAGGGTAATCGATCTGCGGAACTCGGATCGGCTATGGTGGACGGAGGTGGAGGGTGGAGAAAAGAGATCAGAGCACGTCCACTGGCGAACTAACAAAATCGGGAATTGATTCGGGGTTGAAGAGAACGCGGCTGCAGCGTTATATCCTGCAGGTACAAATAGGGCATCTGGGAATGTGTTCGGACGTCGGACACAGAATAGGATAACTCAAGTTATATGATTTTACCTTCGTTGTCGGTTGAGCGAGCAACCAACCACCGAACCAGCTATGAGTGAGGAAGGAAACGCTAGGAAGAGAGAAGACCGAGGAGCGAAGAGCGAACCGAACACAATGTGGCAACTGCGGACGGAGCAAAGAGCGAAGAGTGAGCGGGCTATGGCGGAAGGTGGGGGGGGCTGAAGACCAAATATCAGAACGCGTGCGGAAGCGATAGCACGACTTGATCTGTGGAGCGCCAACAAAAGGGATAACTCGAGGGCTGCAATGCCTTTTATACTTTGTTGCAGCAGGCCTCGCGTCGGGATCAAGGTGGGGCCGAATCGATTCGCATATCGCACCCCTGGGCCCATAAAACGCCATCAAGGTGGGGCCGAATCGATTCGCATATCGCACCCCTGGGCCCATAAAATGCCAGGGCCTATAAACGGTAAGGGGCACCAGAAATTGTCAGCCGTCGATCCATAATTTTCAACCGCGCAGATGAACGGAGCCACTGTTATGCCAGTGGCCCCAAAATCTCCGTCTACTCCGGCGTGCAATGATGTGACAGTTCCTGAAAACAAAGGGCACACAATGTCATTTTCACAGTTGTAATCTGGACCGTCGATCGACATGATCCGGCGCACGAGGTAAGGCGCAAGAATCTATAAGGTGCATGCGCCGAGGCGGTTCGTTGCGCGCCGAGGCCAGGCGACGGTTAATTTCCCGCCGAGGCGCGGCGATTCGTTGTGCGCCGATGTAAAAAGCACCGGAAATCTATAAGTTCCAGTGTCGCTATCATTCGGACATTTTGCAAATGTCAACGACGTTCGATATCGATGCGCTTAGCCATGCACCATCGTTATCGATGCGCTTAGCTCATCGCCATCGCCAACGCTCGCCATGCACCATCGCCATCGATGGGCTTAGCTCATCGCCATCGCGACGAAAAGCTTTATCCCCCATCGCAGCTGTCGCGCTCGCCTGACCATCGCAGCGCTGACAATCGTCATCGCTCTCATCGCAGCGCTGGCCATCGCTGCGCCATCGCAACGCTTGTACCATAACTGCCATCGCAACGTTGGTTCCATCACTACGCCATCTCTCAATAGGTGCGCCATCGCTATCGCCGCCATCGTTATCGCTGCCTTCGCTATTGCTGTTCCATTGCTGCGCCATCGCTATCGCTGTTCCATCGTTGTTCCATCGCTGTGCCATCGCTCTCCACCGCTGCACCATTGCTCTCCACCAAGTGCGCCATCGCTGCGCAATCGCTATCGTTGTTCCATCGCTGCCATCGCTATCGCTATCGCTGCATTGTAACGCGTTCCATTGCCGCGCCATCGCTCTCCACCGCTGCGCCATCGCTCTCCACCGTTGCGCCATCGCTCTCCACCTCAGCCGAGGCCATCGCTATCGAAGCCCTGACTAGTGTTATCCCACCACAGCGCTGCGCGATTTCTCTCTCCATCGCCGCACGATCTCCCTCCATCGATGAGTGATCACTCTCCATCTCACTCCATCACTGCGCGATCTCTCTTGACAACTGGGCAACCTCCATCCTTGCCCCAGAGGCTCTCCATTACTTGTGTGCGATCCCGCTATTGCCATTGTATTGTTGTTTTAGGCCGTCGTTGGTGCAGCCGCCCATCACTGTGGAATCACACGAAACACGTGACAGGTGTGCTTAACGAAGGTTTAACTCGATGGAACTGATGTTGTGCAATAACAAATCTTGGTCATCGCTGTGCCTTCTATCCCCATCGTTGGAGTATCTTTCCTAATCTATCTCCTTCATCATCCATCTCCTTCGGTGCGTTATCTTTCCTAATCCATCTCCTTCGTCATTTATCTCCATCGCTGCGCTATCTTTCCTAATCTATCTCCATTGTCATCTATCTGCTTCGGTGTGCTATCTTTCTCCATTGCTGTGCTATCGCTAACCATCGTTGCGCCTGCTATCTCCATTGCTGCGCCATGTTTCTCCATTGGTGCACAATCTCTCTCTCTCGCTACGGCACACCTCCCAATCAGTTCGCGATCTCTTTCCCTTCCTGCGCCATTCACCTTCTTCCCCGGAATATACAACGCACTTTCATTACAGTTGTCTTTAGACTGAAAGATGACCCGAATTCAGTTGTAATGACCGGACGTTGTATTCGGGGGAAAACTGTGACTCCATCCATCTCTCTTGGTGCGCCATCTCTCTCATTCGGTGCGCCATCTCTCTCATTCGGTGCGCCATCTCTGTCCATGTATTTTCATCGATGCGTCGTCTGCCCATCGCTTCGCAATCTTTCTCCATCTTAAAAAATAGCACGCCATCTTTCCCTATTTCTCTCTTGCGATGATCTATGGCTCGTACTACACGCAGAACAAGCCGGAAACAACTTGCACTTGTACCCGCAGTTTCGTAATGGAAATGCTCGTTTACAAGTGCGAATTCATTCGCTCTTGAACCAACCAACCCCTTAATTTGTCACTGTTTAGTCCATAGGTTAGAATTAACTCGCATTTGTACCCCCAGTTTCGTAATGAAAATGTCCGTTTGCAAGTGCGAATTTATTCGCTCTTCAATCAACCATCCCCCTAAATTTCTTACTCTACAGTCCAAAAGTCCCAGTTTCATAGTGGAAATGTTCGTCTGCAAGTGCAAATTTATTCGCTCTTCAACCAACCATCCCCCCAAATTTTTGACTCTTTAGTCCACAAGCTCCAGTTTCATAATGGAAATGCTCGTTTGCAAGTGCGAATTTATTCGCTCTTCAACCATGCATCCACCTAAATTTGTTCCTCTTTAGTCGATAATTTGCGTATCTTCTCTGTCCAAAAGAAATAAGTCGTTTTGTATTTGCGAGTTAACTCGCCACTAAACCAACCACGAAGGCAATTTCTTATTGCACGGCGTAATCGAAATGTTCCTCTGAAGTGCGAATTTCTTGGCACTTGAAATTTCTCGCTGTTTAGTGGAAAATACCGAGTCGACTCGCACTTGTGTTCCGTCTTGTTCCAACCACGAACTTAATTTCTTATTGTACGTTGAATAAGTCCGAATCAGCTCGCATTTGTACTCTCGCCTGAAAAAGTGCGAGTTTACTCGGATATATCCAAACCACTTGCACACTGAAGGAGTGGGTGAGGAGTCGGACTTGAGATACTACTTGAGCCTCACATAAGGGTCCGACAAAACGATATGGATTCAAATGTTGTTGTTCCACTGTTTTGTGATAAATATTTGAAATGTGAGTTTGCTCCCTCTTGTTTATTTCCCTGACCTCGTCATACGTTGACATGATTTTTTTGTTGTACAGTTTCCTTGTGAATCGTTTTCAAATGGCTGTCCAATCCGTCCACTGTGTCACGCCACCGCCACCGTCACGACAACACGGAGAAGACGATGTTCGAGAACGTAGTTCTTGTGACAGCAGCCCGGAAGCTCCCTCTGATCGGCATAGCGGTTTGAAAAGGGAGTTCTCAATGTTGACCCCGACGAATCATTCAAGCTCGTCTACGACGTCCGCCCGGCGTCGTTTTGTTCGCTTTACCGACGTTCCCGACGGTCAGTGCGTATCTACAGCGCTAATCCCTAGTAGTGAGGGTGTTCGGGATGTCGAGACGTTTCCCGCTGGGTGGATGTTTGTGGATACAGATTTTTGTGGTGTGTCTGAAACGACTGGATCAGATCTCGTGCGGACAGCGGGTAGAGTGTCAGAAAGAATTGAAGTTACCCAACCCCTAGCATTTGACTACAGTCGGTCGTTGGTGGACACAGACTTCTGCGGTACGCCCGATAGAAACGGATCTGATCGGGAACAGTGCGGTGCATTTGGTAGAAATGGGTATGATAGGGACCAGGCAATGGTACATGCGTGCCGAAGTGCGAAGATAGGTAAGAGAATTGCATGTGAAGCTGGAATAGTTGGCTCTCCGTCGATGACAGTGACGGGTGCAATGAAAAATTGGCAGACTGGTTTTGTAGACACAGATTTCTACAGTTCATCGGAATCCTCCCAATCTGATTTGTGGAGAACCGCTCCCACGGACAGATCGAAATTCCTAGGTGCAGCGCATAGGTCCCCGACCAAATGCCAACCTGGAACTCCCGAAGCAGTCCTTCAAGTTTTGTCCCATCCCCTACCTGGAGAAAGGAGAAGATATAATCGAAAAAATAGGCCGGTTAGAAGGTCAGAACATTCGAAGAGGACCAAATGTCGATTGAATGAAACTAACATTGCGCTCGTCCCAACGTACAAATGTTGTAAGAACAAGTGTCTTCGGGTCTTGACCATTGACGATATCAAACCGGTGCGCGAAGCCTATTACGAAATGTCCCTCGAAAGGAGGATCGAGTGGTGGATGCAAACCCTCGACAATTTCACTATCCTCGACGGTGGTCTGGAAAGAGTCCAACCAGTGCAGTGCAAACGCCGTGTGTGCATCGCCGGTTGGTGCAAAATAATAGGGATATATCAAAACACATTTCGTCGTTATAGCAAGTGCAAGTCGGACGGGGTCGTCCGTGCCCGTCATGGTCGATGGGGATTGTTGAACCCGAGACCGGAGTATGTGAGCATGCTGGCTCGTGTGACAAGGTTCGTGGAAGAACATGGAGATGCTATGCCTAACAAAATGGTTGTGAGGGGGACCTCACAACGAACCAAAGTTAAGCTCCCTGCTTATTTCACGAAGCTCCTTGTATACGAGTCTATCAAGGCGGACTTGGAAGCGGCGGGTCAGACCGTCGTTTCGGAGCAAGTCTTCTACTCCATATAGCGGAAGTACTTGTGGCATGCCGACCTTCCCAAGTCCAACTCGTTCACAAAGTGTGGCGAGTGCGTCCGCCTTAGACAAGCCAGAGACAACGCCTTCCTCCTTCGTGACCGTAGGGATTTCGACGAAAAGCACCGCAAACACCAACTAGATCAGGACGCTCACGGTGCGGATTACGCTGACTGGAAACTTTGTTCCATTCTTAACCCGGCGGAATACCTCTGCCTTATAGTGGATGGAATGGATCAGAAAAAGACAACCATTCCTCACATCGGCATGCATAATTACTCCAAGGATCATCGACACGACATGATAATGAAAACGAACCTGACCGCGGTCATAGCTCACGACAGAAAACCGTCCATTTATGTGTACACGTATTTGCCTTTCTATGCTCACGGTTCCGATGGCACCATGACGTGCGTTATGCGGACTCTATGTGAGTTGCAGGCGTCGGGACAGAAATGGCCACGCCACCTCCGCATCCAGGCGGACAATTGCTGGAGGGAAAACAAAAACCAATACCTTATGTGTTTGGCCTCTCTTCTGGTGAAATTCGGGATTTTCAAAGATGTCGAAGTAGGGTTCATGCTAGTTGGCCACACGCATACCGACATAGACGCGGCTTTTAGTGTTTTCTCGAAAAAACTGAAGGACAACGATGCTTACACCATGAAGCAGTTGTTCTCGCTTATCGAGTCATCGCACAAGATACCGCCGAAGTGCATTGAGCTCGATCACATTGCCGATAGGCGCCTGGTAGTGGATCAATACGTCGATAGAACCATCGTCGGCGTATCGAAACCGCACCTCTTCAAATTCTTCATGCGTGATGGCAGTCCTGTCATGGTGTACAGGAAGTACTGTACCGATGCGGAATGGATACCGAAAGGCAGACTAGTTCACTGGTTCCCTGTTGTCTATGGCCAGTATGCAGGCCCTACCTCCCCTCCACAACCATGTGTTATTCCCCGTGTCGTTAAAGACGATTTTCGGATGGCTCGTGACAGTGTCCAAAAATTTGTGGACGTCCTCGAACAGCATAGACACATGTGGCAGATATATAGGAAGGAGGAGGTCGACAAGCGGGAGGATGCTTTGTCTTACTGGAAAGTCATCTTCGTCGAGGCGGACGACATGATCCAAAAGCAAAAGAAGAAGGAAACGGAAGAGGGTGAGGAAAAGGATGTCCTCGGGGCGGACGACCCGGAGATCTACCCTCACGCCTTCTGGCCACAATCAGTCGAAACTGTGGACAAAGTTCAAGAAGCCGATCCTCCTAGATGCTTCGCTTATATATGTAGGACCGAGGGCGGGCCGTCCAAAAGTGGACTTCGAACCTCGGCGCCATACAAACAAAGGTGATTTTCTGATTGTTAGACCGCCTGATGAGGAACTGTCTCAAGGTGTCCCGTTCTGGGTTGGCAGAGCACAGTCTGAGGTTGTGGACGATCGTTCCTCACCGCATTTCGGTTTTTTACGTATACAGTGGTGGGTGCCTACAGGTCACTCGTCCGATCTTCGCGAAAGGTACTCCGGCGCCTGGACGAAGAGGTGAAAACTTTCCACTTTGGACGAGGAACAATGGCAACGTGCTGAAACCGTGGCTTATTCTTGGAGAAGATCTTTTCACAAAGGGA